ACCAATATGTTTTGGCTTATGATGAATATCACTTCCTCCAAGGATGGGAATATTGGCAAATTGAATTTCACTTCTCCCCTTCTCAAAGTGAGACTATCCAAGTCCGGTTTAGAAGCATCTGGTCTGAGAATTAGTAGTCATGGTGGAAATACTTGGATTCATGCTCTAGATCTGTCAATAAATCACACATGTCTCAGGGAGGCTGACCCCACGAGGCCTCAGTTTGCTCATCTAGAAAATGAGATTGTTGGAGTTGATGATCCCTCCAGCGTTTGGGCTCACCGGTAGTGCTCACTGCTCACTGATAGTGCACAAAGGATAACACGTGGCATACTGTTGATGCATAATAAATGTTTAATCGATGGATGAATGAAGTCTTGACTTTCATTTCCTTCCAAGGTGATTCTGAAAATTCCAGAATTTATTATAAAAACAGAATCAGTTCAGGAAACCCCTTTCCTTAGTCATCACTGACTTGACCTCTCTTTAGCGTTTTTTGCACGTTTAAGTCTGGTGAGAAAAAGACATCAGCTCTTTGTGAGGAGCAGGATTTGTATTTCAAGTTGGTAAATTGCAGATGACAGTTGCAATCCTGGAGAGACACAGAGAGAGGTGGCCCCTCGCCCGTCCTCTCCCACCGTCTCCCTGCACGGCCCTGCACCTGACTTGGCATTCGCTGCCCATGTCCTGCCACCAGCAAGGCTCCCCCCTCATGCTGCCTGGCAGGTCCGCACCTTCCTCCAAGCCCATGAATCATCAGAGGTGCTGAGGCTTCTCCAGCTTTGTGGTCCTGGCAGAGGTGTTGTTTCTTCTAAAAGTGAAGGAGAGAGAGAGTTGCTAAGGAACACCATTAATATGCTGACGGCAACACAATCTCCGAGAGTTTTGGCCTCGGCCGTTTGACTCTAATCAGGAAATCATTTTTAGAAGGATTTGTCAGTGTAAGAAAACAAGCCCCTGAACTAAATTAGGATCTGGATTATTTTTTCCTCCTCTCCCAATCTGCGGTGCGAGGCAGATTGCTGAGGCCTCACGGTTTGTGTGTGGTGAATTTGTTTCTGTTGCACATTTGAATTTGGAGCTTCCCAAAGGCGGCTGTGTTTCTAAGGACTACATTTTGGAGCAGCACCCTTGGGGGTTTGGGGCTGTCTCTCCTTCCCTCACACTGGTTGGCTTTCTTGGCAAGGCGGCCCAGCTTCAAGACTCTGTAATCTGATTGTCTTTTTCTTTTCCGTTTTTCCTCCCCGTAATGAATTCACCGCATGTCTCTGGGAAATTAAGGTAATCCATTATACTCTTGTCTCCCCATCGTCGCCACAGGGATAATAGTATTTAACCCACCTTTGCAGTATACTGAGTGGCCTGTCAGGGTCTCTTCTTTAGAAGGACAACTTGAAAACATTTTAATAAATGCTCCTTAACTGTATGCTTTAAAAATACATGGGGCCAAATGGCAAACAGCTCAGTAGTAACCAGTCCAGCAAACAAGACTAGCTGTTTGTCACTCTTTCCATTACTTCTGTTTTTCTCCTCTTCCTCTCTCCACATGCTTCCATTTCTCCTGGGACATGTTGTCTCTGTTCAGGGATAGAATCTTTGGGGAAACCCAGGGTTTTGGTTGTTACGGACCAGCGCCTGCTGCCCATGCAAATCCTCCCTGGGAGAGCAGTTGAGTTTCTCATTCTGCAGGGTTCCCCAGTGCTCCTCAGTGCTCCTCGGTGCTCTTCAATGCTCACAACAGGTGTGCCTGAGGACAGAGAAGTGGGTGCCCAGCTTGTGTGCTGCAGAAGGGACTGGATGGCCTGGCTGCAGGTCCTCTATTAAATGCCTGTGGTTTCATTTCCCATGCAGTCAGGGACCTAATCACGCTTAGGATGTCATGGCATGTCATGTGCATATCAGGCTGATTTTCTCCTTCCCTGTGGTGGAAACGTGTGTTCCCACAATCACAGGCCTGAGGCCTGGAGCTCATTCCTGGAGAGCAGGGTAAAAAGTGCCTTTAACTTTATTTTCCCACCTGTTCTTCTCCGAAGATAAAAGTAGCCACAGACATTCCATGGAGCGGGGAGGTGCCCACTGGCATGCAGTGTGAACCCAGCCTGGGGATCAGAAAGCAAAGTCAAGGCTGAGCCCTTTTATGTTTGCAAGGCATCTGGATGGGACATGGCAGCTAATTGTGTCCAGAGGCTTTAGATGTCCCTCCATGTGCACTCAGAGTACCCGGTATTCTTGGGGTTTTGGGGCTGTTTGGGAGTTTTCAGAACTGACATGAGGTTAGCTTTGAGAGGGATATTTTCTGGTGCTTTCTGCTGATGCCATGGGCTGCTCTTCATTGGAGAGACATCTTAGGTCCAAAGAATACCTGTAGGAGGACCTGATGACCTGGATGAGCGTCCAGGTAAGTCTGAAAGTTCTCATTTCTTTAAGTCATATGAGACATGTTAAATGCATTGGGAAAAGATGCATTTAGAGAAGTCCTCCATGAAAAAGTATGTGATGCAGGAAATTCCCTTATTCTATCTCAAAACAGTCCCTTGTGCAGGATCAATCAGCAGGTCAAGACTGACCCTCTCAAGAAACACAGTCCTTGGTTTCTTACTCTCTAAGCTCCAGGGACGAGTGCTGCACAGATACTAACAGCAACTGAGTTCTATAACCAGGCTTCAAAGCTGTTAAAGGAGGGTTTCTCTCATCTCCTCAGTGAGATTAGGAGACTAGATCTTGAATTTCTCAGTCTTGGAAGAGACCACAGAGGCTATTAGGCTCAGCGGATTCTCTGTGTGTGTGTGTGTGTGTGTGCATGCGTGTGTGCGTGCGTGCGTGTGTGTGTGTGTGTGTATTTAAGCAACTTTGCCTCCTGCCCCCAGGAAAGAATATATATAAAGGGAAGGGGAAAGAGAGGGACAGAGGATCCGAAGCTGGCTCCGTGCTTATAGTAGTGAACCCGATGTGGGGCTCCAGCTCATGAACCGCGAGATCATGACCTGAGCCGAAGTTGGACGCTCAACCGACTGAGCCACCCAATTGCCCCACCCACCAAATAATATCTTACGAAGAATTCCAAAATACTAAATAGGTACAAGGTGGGGCATTCTCACTGAAGTGGGCAGGAGGGTGGGAATTAGAATATCATTAACGTGGTCTCTTCCCTGGTGCCATCTCCCATGTGGACCCACCCCTCAGTGGTTCCCAAGGCACGTTTGTGGAGTCCAGGGTTGTAAGCATCGATAATGCCTGACCCTTGCATTTTACAGATGAAGTTACTGAAACTCAGAGGGATAGCTTAACCTCACCTTACACCACACATGTAGGAAATGTCTCATATATAAACCAAACACATTAACATTCTTGCCATGGGGAGGAAGAGTTAAGCTAAAACAGGCAGAAAGGTGCTGTGGCTGTGGGCTTCTGTCTTCCATAGGAAGGAAGATGACTTTGGCTCTCCCCTCAGTTTTTCCTGCTTTTACGAGCCAGCCTATTTCCTTCTGGGCCCTCACTGCTGTTTACACAGTGTAGCAGGGGCCGGGATGGGCCCACAGGAAGGGACTCTCCTTCTGTGCTAATGCAGGAAGGAATGTGGCATCGATCTATCTGCAATTATAAGCTCAATGTGTTTCCCTTGAATTTTTAGAAAACCAAAGGTACTTTGCAAGTGCAATAGAGCTTCCAATTAGGCAGTTAAGTTCCCCATTTCTATTTCCCTAATGACTTGACTTGCTCTCTTGCTTTATGAAATGAAAATAGCTTTATTTGGGCACAAGGATGCAGCTGATTGCATGCTTAATATGCTTTTGCAACAAGTTCCTGCCTGTTCCTAGCATACGCAATGGGCAGAATAATACATTTCTGTGCTTCTTTCTGCCACATATCCATGGTCATTTACTCTAGTCCCATGCCTATGGTCACTGGGGGTGGTGCAGTTTGAAAGAAGTGTCCAGAAGGCTGGTGTTTAAGCCTCTAGAAGGAAAAGTGTCCTTGAAGAGTGGGCACTGGGTTCAAGGCCATTTTCATCAGGGGTGGTATAGAGTACTGGACTTCATGTGCTGAGTGGTGGAAAGCAGAGGTGGGGCTGGTAGAAATCACGCAGAAGAGTTGAAGCAGAGACACAGAGGGCAAAGAAAAGGCACAAGAAGGACATCAGCTGAGTTGTAAGAAAGAAAGAGTAGGGATGAAGAATTAAGCTCTGTGAAGATGTAGGGTTAGGGGTTTAGCAGTTGTTTCTTCACTGGGGAACTAGACTTGAAAGTAAAAGACATGCTCACTTTCCACCGTATCTGGTTGAACACTGCTCCAAGCCAGGCCCCAGGTTCCAGAAAGCCAAAGGACATCCCTTCTTTGTCTTTTCAGTTTACAGAAAACATTGACTCAGCCATGGCCTGTGTAGAGATGTTCACATACCTGGGCAGCACTTTTGAAAACCACTTCAGAAGATTTTTGGTGCTCTCTGCCCTACTCTTCCTCTTCCTCTGAGCTCAGCACAAGCCCGGAAGCCTTCAGAGGGTGTCCAGAGGGCTGTCTGCATACCTGTTAATGCTCTCAGTATGTATCATGGCTCACAGAGCTGTCTCCCAGGTCAGGTATAAGACCATTTCCTTTCTCCCCTGACCCCCATGCTGAACAGCTGGGGGCAGGTGGTATTCCCGAAAGCCGTGTCACTTGACTCACAGGAAGTGGGACTTCAGCACAGGCGGTCTTGAGCATGATGGCTGGCAGCAGCAGGCTGGGAATGCCCTCATGTTTCCCATTGCTGCTACCTGGCTGGGTCAGCAAGTTTTTCACATGGCTTGTTAAACGCAGAGCCCTCCGTGGAGAAGACCACAACCACGGCCCTGTTGTCTGGGGTGCTTTGCAGAGCAGAGAGTCATCTATCTCTGTGTGGTCTGTGGCTGCTTTTGGCTTTCTTGTTTAAATTGCCCTTGATCAGAGCTGAGATTACAGAGGAACTTGGTCATTGTTGCAAGGCAGCTGTGGCTAAAAAATAAGAAAAAGGAAAGAAGATCTCACATCAGGCAGCTTCTCTTTATTTCTGGGAACACTCTGGGCCTTCCTTGAAGTGCATCACCTGCAGAGCAGTGTTGGCTGGTCTGCCGATGGGAAGACCTGCTTTCCAAGTCTGAAGGAGACCCTGAGGTCATTGTGTCCATTCCCCTGCCTTCAGGCAGGATTAGAGATAAGCTGCCCTGCCAGAGGATAATCTCTTCTACTTGTAAAAGCTTCCAGAGTAGACCAGAATCTCTCTCTAGACCATTCATTGCAACTTTTAACAACCTTCACCATCAGGAAATTCTATCCTAAATCCCTTATGCTGTGGATTAAGTTTCTTTCCTTGTTCCATCCTCAGTAGCCACTGCCAAGACTTAGCCTGCACTGCCTGAGAGCTCTTCTGATACCTGAAGATTGTGTTAAATCCTGCCTGCCTGTCTTCCCCTGATGAATAATCCCAGCCTCTTTTTCTCCCAGGCCCTGCTGCCCGTCCTGCTCATCACCTTCGAGGCTACCCTCTGACCTCTCTCTAAGTGCCAGTGTCCCCTGTGGGAGCCCAGAACCAGACTCAGGAGTGCAGTGCATTTCTAACCTATCTTAGGTCCGTGAGAGTCCTTCCTGAACCCACGGCATGAACATTACCTTCTTGCTCGGGCACCCACATGGGCTTATGTATTGGTGACCCTCACTCACAGGCTTACGGTCACCTTTCAACCTACTACTAGCCTATCAGATCCTTATCCTTTACTCTCTTGGATGTTAAGGGCAAGATAAATCGCCCCCATCAGCAGTATCGCTGTATCATTTTATCTGCACCAAACACTGACCACTACCAGCACTGGAAACAAAGAGAAGGGAGAATGGGGACAATTCTGAGTGTCCGTATCTCTTCTGGAAGGTTGTGACAAGAGCAAGGAGCAGAGACGGCCAGCTGGTTGGATGTGGGTCCTCACACTGCTCTAACAACAACAGGTGCTCTCGGTCTGATGGCTTTCTTTTCTCTCCTTCTCAGTGCGCTCTCTCACCATCTGGTCTCCACTGCTCCATACCGGCCCCATCCAGCACACTTAGCCCCATGCCTACCCCATGGCAGGCTCACTCCCAGTGCCTGCAGGCAGCAGAGCTCAACTCCAAGTCACCAAGCAGGTCCCAAAGAATTTGCATGGCCAGAAGGTGCTCACTGTGCACTGGGTGAACACACAGAAGGGCGAGGCGGCCTCTTCCTCAAGGAGGGTGAGGATGAGGCAGGGACTTGAGACACAGGCCTGGCAAACTACAAACAGCATGTGGGCTTTGGCCTGCTGTTCACAATAGGAGAGAGATGTCAAAAGGCAGCCTTCTGAAAAGGGCCACATGAGGGGTGCCTGGGTGGTTCAGTCAGTTAGGCGTCCAACTCTTGGTCTCTGGTCAGGTCTTGATCTCAGGGTTGTGAGTTCAAACCCTGCATTGGGCTCCACACTAGGCACGAAGGCTACTTAAAACAAAAGGGGCCACCAGAGGTAGTTAGGTGTTAAGCACAGAAGACTTCAGGTCAGCAGTCAGAGAGGCTTCATGGAGGAGGTGGGTCGGGTTGGATGGGAGCTGGCCCTCAGCGGGCAGGTGTTGGCTAGGCCAAGAGCGTCCAGTATGGATTCAGCAAGAGAAGTCTGTGAGAGCTAGGATGCACTTTACTGGCTCATGGCTCCTGTTCTGCTCACCCCTTCCAACCCATCCAACTCTTTCCATCTCTAGTTTCCAGAAGAGATCACCTTCTTCCTTTTATTCCATTCATAAGGGAAAAAAATATTTGATGGGGATCCTCTATGTGCTGGAACAATTCCAGGCCAGAGGCGGCCAATAACATGCTGCAACACACCGGTAGACCATGACTGGTTCTGGAGTGTGGGATTCCAATTCCCTTGGCCCCTGGGCTGGACAGATGCGGCATGGGCTGGTCAGTCTCCTGGGTCTGGGTCACTTCCAATTGCTGAGTAATTCTCTTGGTTTCTCATGCTGTACTGCGCAGTATTCTCATTTTGCGCCTTACTCTTCATGGTTGGGAGCACTGTCCTGGGCCTTGGGGTACACAGATAACGAGACAGGTGAAGCTACTCTAGTGGGTACGGCGGGTGGCATTCTAAGACGGCCATTAAGATTCCCACCCCTGATGTATATGCCCTGTGTAATCCTGTCCTCTCGAGTGTGGGTGTGGGCTGTGACTATAAAGGGACAGTTGGTTTCATGATTAGGTCATGTTGTATGACACAGTTGACCTTAAAAGTGATTGTTCTGGGTGCACCTGATATAATCAGGTCATCCCTCCAGAGGGACTTGGCTCTTCCTGGTGGGAAAGATTCAAAGTGTGACAGGGCCTGGATGTGAGGGAGATCCTGTTTCTGGCTTTTACAATGGAAGGGCCATGTGACAAGGAATGGGGGTGGCCCCTGGGAGCTAAGGGCAGCCCCTGGATGATGGCCAGCAAGGAAATGGCAACCCCAGTGTCATACCTGCCAGGAGCTAAATCCTCCCACAACCACAGGAGCCTGGAAGAGGACCCCAAGCTCTGGATGAGAACGCAGCCTGGCCTACATCTCTTGTGAGACCCTGAGCAGAAAACTCAGTCCCTTCTGCTGCACGGACTAGGGAGCTAATGAATGGTGCTGCTGTAAGCTGAGTTTGTGGTGATGTGGGATGCAGCACAGAAAACTAATATTTGGGGGGGATACAAAAACACTGAACATGCAAGATTCAGATGGTGATGAGGGGTATGTAGATGTAGACTGAAACCCAGCAGTATAATGGGGCGGGGGTGCTGTGGGTAGCCAGAGAGATATCACCTGGTGATGTTTAAGTGGAATGACAAGAAGGACCCAACCTGGTAGAGATCAGGGGGCAGAGCCATCCAGGTGGAGGGAATAGCTAGGGCAAAGGACCTGGGGCTACAACAAGCCTGATGTTTTCAGTTACAAAAAAACAGGAAATGTGGCTTCCTGGATCTAGTCTACAGAGGCAGATACCAAATCATTCAGGGCTTTTTGAGATTAAACATGGCATTTGGATTTTATTTTCAGTGTGAGGGAAGCCAAGGAGGGTTTTAAGGAGAGGAGTGATGTCATATTTCGTCATTTCTTTTTAACTCAACGTCTGTTCTTCTATCCTTATAGAAGGAGGCTGAGGGCTGTTGGGGTCTGAGCACATGAATGAGTTTCTGGGGTCTGGGCAAACATAAGGCAGAAGAGTAGGAACATCCCCAGGGCCTGGCTCCCTCGGGCTGCAATGGTTCCCTCCTTAAGACTGGCTGTTCTGTTGGGCACAATTCTGGGGGGAGGCCAGACCCTGGGCATGGAGAGTCCCGGTCACACACTGCTGGTGCTTAGTCCTTCGCACCGTGGTTTTATCCCTCCCTAGAGAGACCTCAGCACATAGATTACATTTTCTGTTCTATGCTGTGGGTACTATCCCATGCCACTGGTGCTCTGAACATGGTAGGCACTGGGTATATTCTTGGTGACGGCTGATGGCAAAGTGTGGTAGAATTGACTGTGGAGAGAAAATATCACATGCCAGTTTGGTTATTCATCCATGCCTTTATTTAGTTCATAAACATTTCCTGAGGGACTGCCCTATGCCCTGCCTTGTTCTAGGGGCTGGGAATACCATATCACATAGACAGAGTACATCTTTTCTTTAAGGAACTTATATTCTTAAAGGAGAGATAGATTTTTAAAAAAGTATAAAAACCGTGAATCAAAGAAAAACAATAACAAATGGAGGTAAGTGCTGTGAAGGAAGTAAACAAGGAAACTAAGTGCTTGGGCCTGGAGCCTCCCAGGACTAACTCCGAGTTCTGAAGGTATAATTTAATGAACGAACAAATGCACGAATCAATAATTTTCCTGCCCCTGGATTTGCTGCATTCTGCTCAATTTCTCTTCTCTGAGTCTGTTTCTCCTGGGAGGAGGCCCGAGTGTTGGGGGTGGGGGCAGACAGGCAGAAAGGGCTTAAGCTGCGGATTCTATTTCAGAGCCATCTCATCTAGCTGCTGTGGGAGCCCCGTGGGCCACATGTTAGGACAGAGGCTCTTCTGATGTTAGAGGGTGTGATGGTGGGGCCTCGATTGATGGGGAGAAAGAGGTAGGTTTGAGGGACACTGAAGAGCCATGCAGCTAAGACTTGGAGGTTTACTGGTTAAAGGAGGAGAAGGTTAAAGGTCACGGGACAAGGACCAGATGCAGATCTCTCTAGTTTGGACCAAGGCTGGCTGGGAATGCTAATTTATTAAAATGCGACATTAAAGATAAAGAGCAAGGCTTGGTGGTGGGGGGGGGGGGTGGGCAGGTGGGGAGGGGCTGCTGGGAGAATTTTAGTTCTGGGTAAGCTTTGTCGGAGGCCCATGTCCGTTGGGAAGCTGACACACCTGTGGTGTGCTGGGGCCTGAGGGCTGGGCTGGAGACGCAGGTGGGGGGGTGGGGTGGGGGCTGTTATGGGTGCACGTGCTGGAAGCTGGGGAGCGAGGGAGCCGCCAGAGAGCCTGACGGCCGAAGAACTAAACTTAAAGGGGGGGAGAGCAAGGGAGTTGGTCAAGGAAAAAGTTAAATATCCAGAAAGGATTAATCCAGGGAGAACAGACCCAGCTGAGGAGGTGGGAGGGTGCAGACTCGGAGCACAGGAGGTGCCCTTTGCGGGCGTCTGTCTGCTGGAGGGGCTCGGCCAGGTGTGTGCATGCGGGAGGAAGGGGAGGGCACCCATCTGGTGCTTTCTCTTTTCACCGGAGGCATCAGGTGAGGAATCTGTTGCTTATAGTCTTCCCATTTTTTTTTAATTTTTTTTTTTTGTTTTAAGAGGTAAAACTCTGGCGCAGTAAGATTCTCCTGGGAAGGAGCGGATGACAAAGCTGGAGAGATTGGAGGTGTGGGGGCGGGGATGGGCAGGCACCCACCAGAAGGGCGTTTGTGAGGATGAGGGCGGCTTCTTCCACCTTTTCAGGAGGAGAGGGTGAGTAGAGATGGCGGGAGTGTGTGTGTGTGTGTGTGTGTGTGTGTGTGTGAACGGGAGGCTCAGGACTTCATTTGTTGCCTTCTGCTTCTCTGCAGACGAGGAAGGTGGCGGGGACAGGTGGGTGCGTGGTTGGTGCTTGCAGAAGGGGTGAGCTGGCTGCATGGCGGGGGTCTCTGCCCACGGGCCCCAGGAATAATTCCAGACTGTACTGAATGGTCTGGTTGGGCCTGTTATTTGAAGTTCTTTAGAACCGAAAGCTGAAAGCTGAACAGGTTGAGAAGGTCGGAGATTTGCACCCCAGAGGACAAGCTTCCTTCTTGGCCTCTCAGAGGGGACACAGGGGAGGTGACAGTGGCACAGGGCAGCCTGAGTTACTGCTTTCTCTGGGCAAAACGTGGGGAGGAGACCAACCTGTGAGTTTTTAAGATAAGCCCATGCGAATATTTCTGTCTCCATTTTTGTATTTCTTGTCTCACCACCTGCCCCCACCTCCTCCCCAAATCTGTTCCATAAGTAATTAATGACTGCTGCAGCGGCTTCTGTTCCTATAACTGAAGACACCTTTTGGCAGCTTTGTAAGTCTTGTGTCTTTCTTGGCTTCTAAAGCTAAGCTGCTCACCTTGTGTCTAAAACTGTGGCTGCAGATAGTTTGCTTCCGTGTGTCTCTGCATTATGGGTGAGTAGTCACAGCTGCCATCACATCGTGTCTGTACAGCCTGATCAGTCCTCAGAATTGAAGCCCCCTGAGCTCTGGGCACGGAAGATGGGTGGGAGGGTCGGAGGGATTTTTATGGGTGGTAAGGGGCCAGATACGGTACAAAACACTGGATTCTGTGTTGTTGAACTATGCTGCCCACCCACGTCAGGTTCCCTTGAAGCAGAGCCTGAGATAAGAATTCTTCAGAATGTGATTTATTGAGGGGGTGCCCTCAGGAGTGGGGGCGCAAGGAAAACAGGATAGGGCAGGGGAAGAAGCCTGAGGAAGGATGTGGCTTGGGCTGCATGCCAGCTCCCTTTGGTCCCATGGGAAATCCTGGAATGTGAATTGTACCCCAGTGTGGGACTTCCCTTGTCTAGCCTTTCCTTGGGAAGTGGGGAGACAGTGGCCGTGATGTCTTCTGATGTCCCCACTCAGACCAAGATAAGTCTAAGAGAGCACCAACAGTTTCCATTACTATGTCCGTTTACTTTGTTTCACATAGTGAAGTCATTCATTCTTTCATTCATTCAACAAATACATGTTGCGACTGGCTCTTCCCTTAACCCTGATATTTCTGGCTGTTTCAGGCACATTTTCTTTAAATACTTAAATAGCCAAAGGATTTTATGCTCTTAGGAGCACCAGGAAACCTCCCTTTGTCTGTTGACCTGGCTCATAGGTGTATTTCCACTCTATGTAAATCAGTTTACATATCAGTGGGGTGGAAAAGGAAGAGAACAGGAGAGCATTGTAGCCTCAGGAGGAGGGAGAAGGAGGGACAGGGTGAGGATGGGAAAGGCCAAGGGCCCTGGGCAGGCCTCCCAGTGTTTCCAGCTGGTTGCTCATGGGCTACACGCATGGGGAAAGATAACAAAGAGCTAGTCTTTGTGCATGGATCTTACCTCTCTGGCATGGATGAAGAATTCAGGTGCTGGTCCGAGGCTACCTTAGGAGTTTGTTGCTATGGGAGCTCCTACTTAACGCTGAGAGGCTGAGGCTTTATGAACTCATCACTACCCTTTGTATGATGTCAAAGAGATGCCATTGTCACTCACTTCCCCATTGTGGCCCCCATCTATAAAATCAAAGCATCTGGTAACTCGATCCTGAAGTCCCTTTCCAGGGCTGAGACCCTTTATTTCAATGGTTCCTGGCTTTGACAGGTTGAGAACAAATAACCTAGTCCTGAGAGGACATACCTACTCTTGTGCCGGGAGACTCTGTAGGCCCATCATTTCACTTATGGCTCGAGTGGAGGGATAATGGCATGCTGCTAGGGTTTTGGGGGATTAAAAAAAATTTGAGAGGATCCATGATTGTCTTGGAATCAAGACTTACTAAACCTGAAAGTCTGGATCAATGGACCCAAACCTGAAAGATAAAATGCTGCAGTTTTAGTTAAAAACTCACCATTGCACACACACAGATGAGATAAAGCTGACGTATGAGCAGTTCTAGTGAAAAGACTTAGGAGTTTTAGTTCAGGATATATTTATTTATAAGTTCAGTAAATATTAATTGGGTGCTGGGCACTGATCCAGGAGCTGGGGACACAGCAGTGAATAAAGTGACATCATCCTTATCCAGCTTACATTCTGGTCCTGTAATGCACTGTGATACAAATTACACACTATGCAAGACGAATAGGTAGGTTATATGGTATGAACGGACCATGGATGGTGAGAGGAAAGGCAATGAGAAATGGCAATGATGGGGTGCTGTTTTAAATGGGAGAGCCAGGGAAGACTTTATGAGGAGGTCACGTTTGGCCCATTTGCTATTTGACATGGCTGCTAAAAAGCTACTGCAATCCTGGGTTCGATGATGAATTAGTTCCACTAATTAGAGTGACCTGCTTGGATGCCTCTACCCACCTAAGTTCACCTGACTTCCTCCAGCTGCCGGCTCAGCCCTGCAGGCCTGGCTGGGCCTTTCAGGAAATTACCAAGCCAGCCTGCCTGACCTTGGCCTCATTTCAGGAAGTCTGCATCTCCTCGGCTTTTGGGAGCCATTGCCCACTGCAATGCACTCTGTCGCTGATCACGTGTAACACTGTGGGCCCCCCCCCCCCACTGTCTGAGACAATGCTGCAGACACTGGGGGCTGGCTAGATTGCCCCTGCCCCCCGTGTGGAGCCATGCACAGTGCCCAAATGACCCTGACTTACCAAACCTGAGCTATCGACTCCCTCACTGTTTCAAAGTGCTCTGTTGGCACTGGCTCCAGAATAAGATTCAAAGGGAACATTTTCTGTTTTATTGATGTTCATCTTCCTAAGTTTGCACAGTGTGTGGCGTAAATGCTAATTTTTCTAGGTGGGGAAAAAAGTTTTCTCCCAAACTTCTTGCAATTTTGTTAATAATGTAGCAAATGAGACAACATATTCTGAGGGCTCAGTCAATCCCGGGGAGGCAGGCTGGGCCTCCGAGTGGCCGTGTTCTTCCTCCTGCTGACTCTGTCTCTCCCTCGGTCTCTCTCTCGGGTGGCTTGCCGAGGCACTCAAGAGCAGAGGGCAGGGGGAATTATGCATGAGCAGAGAGAGGAGATGCTGACCTTCTGTGTTTAAAGGTTAAGGTGATTTCTTGGGAAATGGAACCAACTCACTAATCAGAAGCTGTTCTGAATTTTTCTGCAAAAATTAGACCGTGTGCCTCACTTCACAAGCTCTGTTTGTGAGGATATCCATATCTATATATAACACAGCTAAGCCAGGTTCAGCCTAAATTCATTAAACACCTACTGTGTTCCCAGTCTTAGGATGGATTAGGCCAAAAGGAGCACAAGGAGGTAAATGACAACCCTTGGTCACCTGTGACTCACATGGATGGAACATGCAGCCATTTTTCAGCTCCTTTCAGAAGGAGCAAGATAGTTCTTCTTATTCTGGGGAGTTAGTTACAAGCAAACCCGATCAGGGCACAGTCTACCCCCATTTGCACAGCCTTGGTGTTGATGGTTAAGCAGTACTCAGGATGAAGGTCATGTGCCATGAGATCTTAAGCCAGTGGGTAGGATCAGACAGAGACACAGGAATGGTTTGGAACTCAGAAGTCAAACATGTACTGAGTACATTCTCTGTGTCCAGCACTATGGTAGACACTTAAAGATAAATACAAGTAAGATACAGCTTCTGTCTTCTAAAACACAAGCCCAGTTAAGGTAGAGAGCTTTTCTGTCTTGTTCTCTGTTATATTCGCAGAACCTAGAGGAGTATCTGGCATTTAGTGGAAACGTAATGATGTTTGATGAATGAATGGAGGCATTTGTAGTAGAGGAGGAGGCAGGCATGAATATGTGTCGTGGTGCTTATGGTGTGTGTGTGAAAGAGATGAGGGCACAGGGGGGTCACTAAAGAGAAAGAGGTTGATTTTCTCTGTTAAGTGGGGATAAGATGAGAGAAGAGGCTTCACAGGTGTATCAGGAAGGATTCTTATTTTAGACAACAGAAATTCACTCTTTAGATTAAGCAGAAAAATGAATTTATTAAAGAAACAGGACCTGCCAGAATTTCTAGGCACGCAGAAATTTGAAGCTTGACACTGGGCTCTAGGAATCATGCTCAAGGTTGCACAACAGAGTTGTGTAGTCTAGAGGAAGTACATTGCCCCTTTGCTGGACATGGTCATGGTGGCTTTCACTCCTGATGCCACAGTGCTGGGCACTAGATACTGCCACTAGAGACTGGACATTGCTGTCCTCAAAGTCACCAGAATGAATTCCATGTTGTGCATCCTTCATGCTGCTGGCCATAGGTTCAGAATCTGATTTGGGTTCATCCTATTGGGAGAACTGAGGTCACCTCAGGCATCCTGCACCCTAGCTGCAAGGGATGCTGGGAAAGTGAGTATCTGGTTGATATTCTCCTCCCAAAGAATTCATGAAGTGACCAGTGTGTGGAACATGGGTGGGGGGTGGGAGGTGGTTCAAAAGTCTTAGGTGCTAAAAAAGAAAGATACATGATTGTTACAGTAACATAGATGGTCCTAGTTTGCCAGGGAGGAAATTGTAGCTGTGGTTGGGACAGATTATGTAGAGTTTTGTATTATCTTGTTTAAAGGTTTGGACTCTCCCCCATAAACAGTTGGGAGGCTGTAATGGGCTTTAGGCAGGGGAGTAACAGTGTCAGGTTTGCATTTCAGAAGGCTGGCCCTGAAGGCGGAGTGGGGAGAGTGGAAGGGTTAGCAGGTGCGGGGGAGGGGGGATGGCAGCCCAGTCTGGCCAGAGCTGAGGAGGTGGAGCAGGCAGTGGTGATGGAAATGGGGAGGCGGGCAGTAGGAAGGACTTGATCAAAAAGGGATCAGTGAGTGGAGCTCTTGAAGGTGAAGGGGAGGCTCTCAAAGATGACCCCTGGCTTTTTGGCCTGGGTGGGCTGGTAGGTGTGGGGAATGATGATGGCTCCATTGGAGATAGTAGATGAGGACAGGCATCCAGTAAAGAGTGAGAGACTGAAAATGCCAGAGAGAGAGAGGGGGAGAGGGAGAGAGGGGGAGGGAGGGAGGGAGGGAGAGAGAGAGAGAAAGCTCTTAAGCAAGAGGAAAGCTTCAGCACAGAGGGGGTTGCCATCCTGAGTACATGTAGGGTCCCCTTTTCCTCAGAGGCCAGGGGAAGAAGGTGAAGCTGGCTGTATGTGTAGATATGATTTTAGATGAGGGTTCATGGGTTCAGGAAGTGGGGGGAGTTTGTGCCCAAGGGATGTGCATTTCCCCAATTCCTTGAACCCTATGCCAGCCTTCCTACATCTCTGTGTGGATTGTCTCCCTCCTCCTCTTCATCTAGTTCGGGGACCAGCAGACATTGTCTTAAAGGGCCAGATAGCAAATATTTTTAGCTTGGTCTTAGCTCCAGGGTTGTAGAACAAAGGCAGCCACAGACATTCCACAGACAAAAGGTGAGACCCTGTGTCAGTAAATTTTATTTACTAAAACTAGCCCAGCTGTAGTTTACTGACCCCTGATCTAGCTGATTCCTACTCATCTTGACCCTCCTGGTAGATATTCTCATTGCACTTTGTGCTCCTCCTCCTTCGTAGTACTTCTCTCAACTGTAGTCATTTTCTGTTTGTTTGCTTAACATCCATTTAACTCAGTATTTGAGTTCAGCCGGGGGCTGTGCCTTTCTTGCCCTCATAGACCCCAGAGAAGCACACGGAGGAGTTAGCATGTCTCTGGGGTGCCTGGATGGCTCAGTCAGTTAAGTGTCCAACTTCAGCTCAGGTCATGATCTCATGGTTTGTGGGTTCAAGCCACGTGTTAGGCTCTGTGCTTATAGTGTGGAGCCTGCTTGGGATTCTCTCTCTGCCCTTCCCCCACTCTCTCTCTCTCTCAAAATAAATTAAAAAACAGAAGAACTAGTGCATCTCCTGTGCCACCATGCCAGGCACTGCTCTCAATCTCTACATTCATCAATTCACTCAAGTCATCCAGGATTTCCAATGGAGAGACACTGCTTTTCTTTTCTTTAAAAAAAAAATTTTTTTTAACATTTATTCGCTTTTGAGACAGAAAGAGACAGCACAAGTCGGGGAGGGGCAGAGAGAGAGAGGGAGACACAGAATCTGAAACAGGCTCCAGGCTCTGAGCCATCAGCACAGAGCCCGACATGGGCCTTGAACCCACAAACTATGAGATCATGACCCAAGTGGAAGTCAGACGCTCATCTGACTGGGCCACCCAGGTGCCCATGTTTTCATTTTACAGATAAGGAAGCCAAGGCTAAATAACTTGCTTGAAATCACACCATTGGAAGGTAGAGGGTCAAGATTTAGACAGTCTGGCTCCTCTTGCTAAGTTGCTGGCAAAAAACAAATCAAGTGAATTTGAAGTTGAGTTCTTCCTCTGATAGAGAAGGGGCTGCATGAGGTGGGGTTCACCTGAGGGGAAAGATGGAAACCTGGCAGTGTGGCTGTGGGGAAAGCAAGTGGGAGCTGACTGTGGATAGGTAGTGGCTTTGCCCTGTGGTCCAGGTGAGGACAGAGGACTCATATGGGTGTCATTCTACAAGCAGTAGGCTCTTGTTAGGAGCCTACTCCTTCAGGAGCCTACATGCGGCAGCCAG